AGAGCTAATAAGTAGCCTGACCTAATGGGCCAATCAGTTTATAATCTTATAGAGTCCTGTGTGTGATTTTCATTGGGAGTTGCCGGCTGTTGGGTACTGGGCGGGACAGAAACCCCAACAAGCTGGCCCTCATGTTACATATGGCGCCCAAGTGGATAACTGAATCCACAGAAAGCTTGAGAAAGCTTAAGAAAGAATAGAGTAAAGCATGTTTTCTTGGTAGCAGCAATTTCTCAGGTCTGCTCTGCTTGCTAGAGGCAAGCAAATGCTCTCATCTAAGAGAGGCTTCCTGACTCAGCTTTAGCTGCAAAACTTTATAGCTCATTAAGAGGTCTTGCCACGAAATACTTAAACGGTGTTGGTGAAAAACTGAATGCATGCTTTTCGGTTTTCAGCCGTAGCAGGAAAAAAGCTGCGCTGTTTTAAAATGCCGGTTTTCTGGGCTGTCCTGCCAGGGCAAACTCTGACTCTTTTAGGCAGGCAGTCGACTGAGTGTGGTCTGTGAGCAGAATACTACAGCTTGCTTGCTAGCAAGGACCTTGAAATGCCATAGAGTTGTGGCAGTGAACACAGCTCTGGCTGGTACCTCAGCCACGAGGCTGGAAAGCTAAGTAATGGGCTGGATCTAGCTGTCAAAGCTACGGCTTTAGTCCTACTGATATTGCTTAGTAAATTAAAGACTCCTGTAGTCAGAAAAAGGGAGATATACAGTAAAAGAAAGATTCAAAGTTGAAGAAAACCTCTAAATGGTTTACAGTGTATTAGAAATATATGCAGGTTAAAGTCATTAAAAATAAAAAAGAAAGAAAGAGAGAAGTAGGGTGTGGTGGTACACACCTTTAATCCCAATGCCTGAGAGGCAGAGGTAGATTGACCTCTGTGACTTCAAGGGGGCAGAGGTAGGTTGACCTCTGTGACTTCAAGGGGGCAGAGGTAGATTGACCTCTGTGACTTCAAGGGGGCAGAGGTAGGTTGACCTCTGTGAGTTCAAGGTGTGGTAGGTACACGACTTTAATCCCAGTGCCTGGGAGGCAGAGACAGACAGATCTCTGTGAGTTCAAGGTGTGGTAGCAAGCACATTTTATTCCAGCACTGGGGAGGCAGAGACAGGAGGATCTCTGTGAGTTCAAGGACAGCCTGGTCACAGAGTTATTCCAGGACAAAGATATATACAGAGAACCTGTCTCAAAAAACCAAAAGTTAAAAGTAAAAATAAAAGAAATAGAGGTTAAAATAAAGCCGCATAAAGATGGAAAATACACAGAGAATCTTGATACTGTATGCTATTATGCTCTCTTTGAATTGTTTGAATGATGAGGAAGGAGCAACAGCTGCTAAAGGACTTTTGTTTATAAATGTTGCTGAACTAACCCAAGATAGGTATTTTGAAAATACCTTGGCTTCAAAACTGAAGTCAACAGGTATGATACTTTGGAGAAGAGATTTTGCTTTTGTTTCCACAGAAAATGAGAGGCTATGGATTCATTCTGAGTTAAGAAAAATCAGCTTTGATCAAGGGAGGCCACCTGAGAAATCTCCGACAGGAACAGATGGCCCAGATGTCTGAGTTCTTCATCCAGAACAGGTTCAAGACTGCTGCCTGAGATGATCAAGACTCACAGGATACTCCAGTCAGGACTTGATTATAACTCTAAATTTTCTTTAGGTCCCCATAAGATCATCAGCGCCCCCAACCAGCAGGAAGTAGCCTGAAATACTACACCCACATTCCCAACAAATGGACTATGGGTATTTTCCTTTGTTTAAAAAAAAAAAAGAGGGAAATGGTGTGGGAGAATTGTCTGTATTCTGTCAATCGTGTATTTTAATAAAATGCTGATTGGCCAGGCAGGAAGTATAGGTGGGTCAACCAGACAGGAAGTAGAGGTGATGCAATGAGAACAGGAGAATTCTGGGAAGCAGGAAGCTTCCTCTGCCACTCCTGCGCAGACCACCGAAGAGACAGGACGTAACCTGCCCAGCTGAGAAAGGTACTGAGCCCTGTGGCTAACATAGATAAGGATAATGGGGTTACAAAAGTTATAAGAGCTAATAAGTAGCCTGACCTAATGTGCCAATCAGTTCATAATCTTATGGAGTCCTGTGTGTGATTTTCATTGGGAGTTGTCGGTTGTGGAGTACCGGGCGGGACAGAAACCCCAACAAGCCGGCCCTCATGTTACAGTGCTTCTTATTGGCTTGCTCCCCATAGCTTACTTAGCATGCTTTCTTATAGAACCCAGGACCACCAGCCCAGGGGTGTCCCCACCCACAATGGGCTGGGCCCTCCCACATCAATCACTAATTTAAAAAATCCCCCGTTGAGACTGGAGAAATTGCTCAGTGGTTAAGACCACTGGCTGCTCTTCCCAGAGTCCTGAGTTCAATTCCCAACATCCATATGGTGACTCACAATCATCTGCAATGAGATCTGGTGCCCTCTTCTGGCCTGTAGGCATACATGCAGGCAGAACACTGGATAAATAATAACTAAATCAAAAAGAAAGAAAGAGAGAGAGAGAGAGAGGGAGGGAGGGAAGGAAGGAAGGAAGAGAAAGAAGGAAGGAAGAGAAAGAGAGAGAGAAAGTGAGAGAGAAAGAAAGAAAGAAAGAAAGAAAGAAAGAAAGAAAAAAGAAAGAGAGAAAGAAAGAGAGAGAGAGAGAGGAAGGAAGGAAGGAAGGAAGGCAGGCCCGTGGAGGCATTTTCTCAATTGGAAACCCCCCTCCTCTGATGGCTGTAGCTTGTGCAGGTGGAGGTAAAACCAGCCAGCATTCTGCCCTTCTGAGCTGAAGCTACAGACTCTGTGGGTTGAGCCTGACTTCTCTGAGTGCTGGGTGTCGAACTCAGGTCCTCATGCTTATACAGAATGCACTTTTCCATCTCCCTTACCCACAGTCATCTCTCCAGACTTGCTTTCGCTTTTTTCTTTCAGTAAGTAATGCTTGCTTTCGTTTCTTTCTTATATACTAAAGATTATCCTTAAATAGATAACAATGTGGGCTGGAGAGATGACTCAGAGGTTAAGAGCACTAACTATTCTTCCAGAAGCACTAAATTCAATTCCCAGCAACCCCAGAATGGTTCACAATCATTTGTAATGAGATCTGGCGCCCTCTTCTGGCCTACAGCCATACATGCAGGCAGAATACTGTATACATAACGAATAAATCTTTTCTAAAACTACATAACGATGCTTGATTTTCTGTGTATTTAAGAGTGAGGGCTTGCCAGGCGGTGGTGGCACACACCTTTAATCCCAGCAGAGACAGGTGAATTTCTGTGAGCTTGACGCCAGCCTGGTCTACAGAGTGAGTTCCAGGACAGCCCAGGGTAATTGTAATAGCAGAATTCGTGTCTATTTCATTAACAGAAGTCTGACGAGAATATCTTTGGGATTTCTTCCCTCGAAGGCTTATAATTGTTCTCATTTGTCATTGTTTAGGAATTAATATTTGCAGGGTTGCTAAGCCAGGTACCGTTCTGTTTGTCTTTCTAAAATATCTCTATTCCAGTCTCATTCTTTTTGGCTTTGTTCTCACGGATTTTTCCCTCACGGTCTGGACAGCTTTAACTGGAGTCCCCCTTTATTTTTCTCCTTTCTTCTGCTCTCCTTCCTCACCCAAGCCTGCTTTGATTGTTTTTCGTTTTCTTCAGGATTTTGCTATGTATAAGCTGGGCTGGCCTCCAACTGTCCGTCATTCCGCCTCAGCCTGTAATTATAGGCTTCCGACTCTTGGCTCCACTATTATGTCTTCTTCTCCTTTTGAGACGGGGTTCTCATGTATTCCAGGCTTGGACCGAACTCTGTGTAGCCATGGACAATGACTGCTTGGAATCCAGGTGTACACCAGCATGTTTGGTTTATACTGTGCAGGGGTGGGGGTGGGGGTGGTATTGAACCCGGGGCTGAACAAGTCATCTACCAACATATCTGTGTGTATTTGAGACAGGGTCTCAAATATCCCAGGCTAGCCTCGAACTCATCACATGGAGGAGGATGACCCTGAATTATTGATCATCTGCCTCTGCTTCACAAGTGCTGAGATTCTAGGCATGCACTATACACTCAGCCCATTAAGATAATTTTATTGAAGGACAAATTCCGGCTTTGATACAGATTATTTGGTTGCCCTAAATTAGTATATGTGTGTGTGTTTGTGTATATATGTATATATGTATATATATATATATATATATATATATATATACATATATATATATATCAGTGGTTAAGACCACTGGCTGCTCTTCCCAGAGTCCTAGTCCTGAGTTCAATTCCCAGCATTCATATGGTGACTCACAATCATCTGTAATGAGATCTGGTGCCCTCTTCTGGCAGACAGAACACACTGGATACATAATAACTAAATCTTTAAAAAGGAAGGAAGAAGGAAAAGAAAGAAAGAAAGAGAGAGAGGGAGGGAGGGAAGGAGGGAGGGAGGAAGAGGAAGGGAGGAAATGCCATAGGCTTGCCCACAGCCAGATCCTGTGGGGGTATTTTCTCAATTGAGACTCTCCTCTGATGACTCTAGCTTGTGCCAGACTGAGGTAAAACTACCCAGCATTCTGCTCTGCTGAGTTTCTGTATAGTAATTGTTTTGAAAAAGGAATCAAGTTACTTAAAAAAATATCCCCTACCCCACCATCTGCCTCAATACCCTGCCCGATGGGGGCGTCATACATTGCAAGAAATACATGAAAAAATAATCAGAAGCGCTACGCTGGGCGGGGGCGGAGACAACCGGCAAAGAACACAGGCATAGACTACGCCTCTCGGGAATAAAGAGCGAGGGGGCGGGGGTTTGATCTCGTTGATGATTGGTTGTTATCCCTGGCCAATCATGAGCAGCGATTGATTTTTTTACTAACCGTGGTGATCCGCCTCCCTGGAGGCTTTGACGCCACGTTTACAAATGAGGATAGGTTACGTAAGAGAGATGGGCCGGGTAGCCAATGAGAGCTTGTGGCGCTAATGAGCGGGTGAGGCCGCTGCCAGGTTTGGGGCGGAAGGAATATCTCCAACTAAGACGGAACGAAAGATGGCGACGGAAACGCTGCTGTCCAGGCTGCTGGGATTGCTATTGCTGGGGCTCCTGTTACCTGCGCATCTGACGGGGGGTGTCGGGAGCCTGAATTTGGAGGAGCTGAGTGAGATGCGTTATGGGATCCAGATCCTGCCGTTGCCTGTCATGGGAGGGCAGGTGAGGGGTGTGGGGGCGAGGGTGCTGTTCAGGAGGAAGGGGCACACGGCAGAGGAGGAAGGGCAGCTGCAAGCCCCTTCCTCCTCCCGGAGACTAGGGGGATGGAGCAGATTAGGTGATGTTCATACGTCCTGCTGCGAATCGCAGGCAGACCCATTCCCTGGGGACCAGGCACCGGCAGGGGTGGGGCTTCCCGCTGTGGCCCTCGGGTCCCAGGTCACGTTGAAAGCACCCAACTCCCTGGTGGGGAAGTGAGAGCGCCCTTCCCTCCGCTCACCGAAACCAGCTGGAGAGGACTTGTGGCTTATTCTCTCTTCGACTGGGCACTTCCCCAGGGTCTGAAGAGGGATCTCGTTGTTCTTGATCCCAGCCTCTGCCTCCCTGCCCCCCTTCCCGACCCTTCTTTCCCAGAGCCAAGCTTCAGACGTAGTGATTGTGTCTTCGAAGTATAAACAGCGCTATGAGTGCCGCCTACCAGCCGGAGCTATTCACTTCCAGCGCGAGCGGGAGGAAGAGGCACCTGCTTACCAAGGGCCCGGGATTCCCGAATTGTTGAGCCCCATGAGAGATGCTCCCTGTCTGTTGAAGGTGAAAGACCTAGGGTGGGTGGAATGTAGTCTTGAATTGGAGTGGTAGGAAAGAAGTGGGACCTAAGGGACTGTGGGAGTTAAGGGGCCACTGGTGTACTAGTTCTATTTACGGGGTGGGGGGCAGGGGAGCAAAGTCTCTTGCATCCACAGATGATCCCTTGCTGAATGTAGGAAAGGGTTGTGATAGATCTCAGAACAGGTTAAACCAAGATCAAAGAAAATAAAGAGAGACAGAGGTGGGACTGGGGAGCAGGACCTACCCAGAATGTCACTGTCTCAGGATCCCATTATATTTGAAGTTCAATTAATTCTTGAGCCTGTACTTGAACCTGCGGAGTCTTCAAAGATACCATGATTTCTTATCTTTATGGGGGGCAAGGGAGTGGTTCATGTCTGCCACTCCAGGCTAGACCACATAGCTTGGTTTTGTCTCACTCCTCTCTTGACCAAAAAGAAAGAAAAAGGGACCCATGTGGAAAGTAGTCATACCTGGATGTGTGTCTCCAGCCATGAGAGGGAGACAGCTGTCATTTCTCACAGAGTCTGGGGAAGGAAGGAGAGGACAGAGGGAGAAGAGAACGAAATGACAGTTTCTGTATTTCAGAGTCAGGAGACTCTGGTTTCTAAAAGAAGGATTTTCATGTCCCCTGATTGTGCGTTTTCCAATTGTCAGACCAAGGACTGGTGGACGTATGAATTCTGTTATGGACGTCATATCCAACAGTACCATATGGAAGGTGAGGTGGCTTACGTTTCTCCCAGGCCTTTGCTGGTGTGACAAGCAACCTCCCTCCCAGTCGCCTTCCCTCTAGACCTCAGAACGACAATGATGTGTTCTGCCATATGCCTTCTCTTACAGACTCAGAGGTCAAAGGTGACGTCCTCTATCTCGGCTACTACCAGTCAGCCTTCAACTGGGATGATGAAACCGCCAAGGTGACAGGAGTGTGGGGTCAGAACGGGCCGGGGTCGGAACGGGCCAAGCTCGGGCTACAGGGGAGGGTCAGGTTTAGCTGGTGTGTTTCCCGGGGTTTGGTGCCCATCAAGACCTCGTGCCCTGGGACCCAGATCACTGTGCACCCCAGGTTCCTGCGGGAGGCTGGCGTCGTTCTACCTCACTTCTTTTCCTCACACCTTCTCCCTTCCGCCCGATGTTTTCTCCAGGCCTCCAAGCAGCATCGGCTAAAGCGCTACCACAGCCAGACCTACAGCAACGGGTCCAAATGTGATCTCAACGGGAGGCCCCGAGAAGCCGAAGTTCGGGTGAGTCTTCCAAGAAGGAAGGAAAATGGTCCCCAAATAACAGTCTCTGGGAGGAGGGCAGATCTAGCTGGCGGCTGGATGTCATTGTCTGGATTTTCAGAGGTAATTTAACGCTGCGCTTCCCATATGCTACCCTCAGTATTCTCAGCCCTATTCTATCTGCCCAGTGTCTCTCCTGACTTCACCTGAGCTGTTATTAATGCGTCTGCCTTTGACTTTCCGCTCTCCGGCTGGAGCATTGAGGCATTGGTCTCAACTCTTCTGGTGAAGCGGCAGCAAACAGGAAGTTCCCACTTGGGTGGAAGGCCTGGTGTAGGCGAAGACAGATGCTAACAAAGCAACGGAGTATAAATAAAGCCAGGAAGGCAGGGGTTCTCAACCTGTGGGTCAACACCCCCTTTAAAGGCTGAATGGCCCTTTCACAGGGTCACAGATCAGATATTTTTGTTACAGTCAGAACCGCAACAAAATTACAGTTACGAAGTAGCAACAAAAATAATTTTATGGTGGGGGGGGGTCACCACAACATGAGGAACTGCGTTAAAGGGTCTCAGCGTTAGACAGGCTGAGGACCACTGCTTAAGAGTGAGCATGAGGAGGAACGAGGTCCAGTTTTCTCTTCTAAGGATCTAGCAAAAATCGAATCTGGGTCCTCTGCAAGAGCAATATGTTCTCTTAACTACTGAGCCATCTCTCCAGCCCCTCGTGACGTTTTCATACGTGTATATCACTATAGTTTGCTTACTTCAGCCCTCCACCATGGGTAGACATAGTCTGTCGGTAAAAGAATGAGGTTTGTTGTTGGACTGGACATGGGGCAGAGTTAAGGGTGATGGATTATGACTGTGTTAGCTTCAGTGGCTGCAGACGATGGACTGTCATTCACTGCAGTGTGAAGAAGCAGGTTGCAGGAAGAGGGGTTGGGTTTGTGCGTATGGAGGTCAAGGGACCGTCAGCCCTCCCACTGGTAATCTGCCGTCAGCAATTAGCTCTGCGATTCGGAATGAAATCTAGGCTGGAGATAAAAATACTCATCATGTTTCTGTCACAGTGACCCGTCCCTCTGCCAGGGATGTTGTAGCGCGCTTCAAATGGCTCTGTGTGTCCCTTCATTCAGGTCATACTCAAGTGATACCTTGTGTGGATGCACTAACACAGGTCCCCTTTCACCATGGTAAACACTTAAAGTGTTTTATAGTCTTCGAAGTCAGTATCATAAACTGGCCATGGGTTGGCTCAGCCCTATAATCTCAGCACTTAGGAGTCTGAGGCAAGGGATGACTGCCATGTTTGGGGCCAGCCTGGCCTCCATAGTGAGTTCTAGGCCATTCTAGGTTATGGAATGAGAGCCTGTCTCAAAAACAAATACAAGCAAAAACATGTATCATTGCCTGAACTGATCTCTCATTTTGTTTTTTTTGTTTTTTTTTTTTTTTCTGAGAGAGGGTTTCTCTGTAGCTTTGGAGCCAGTCCTGGAACTCACTCTGTAGACCAGGCTGGCCTTAAATTCACAGAGATCCATCTGTCTCTGCCTCCAGAGTACTGGAATTAAAGGCATGTGTCAGTACTACTACCTGGCTTTTTGTTTATTTTATTTTATTGTTGAGACAGGGTCTCTATGTAGCTCTGGCTATCCTGGAACTCTCTATGTAGACCAGGCTGGCCTTCAATTCAGATTTTCCTGCCTCTGCTTCTCAAGTGCTGGGATTAAAGGTGCATACCACCATACCTGACCTCAAATGTTACCGTGGTTGACTCACCCCGAAAGTTAGTCTTGTTCCTTCAGTGCAGATAGCCACATCCATGTGTGAAATCTATTACCACACCCCGTTGTATTCTAACATTTGGCTGTATAGCATCTTCCCCTACCTACTGAACATATGCCCTGCACCTTGGGATAAAAAGGTGCCTGCATCTTAGTCTTTGCCGTTGGGAGGCAGGTGTTCAGTAACCAGGGTGAAACAGGATGAGTTTCTTTCCAGGTGAGGCTCCATAGGAAAGCAGGCAGGAGAGCTCAGTGGAAAGTAAGAGGAAAGCCTACTAAGAAAGTGACCTTTGACCTGCAGATGTAGGGGGCAGGAGAGAGGAGGGGGCAATGGCGGTGGGAAGGGCAGTCCAGTGCAGAAGGAAGGCTTTGGAGTCAAAGGCAATGGTGTGACTCAGGCTCTGAGGCTCAGGGAAGAGCTATGTGGGAGATGGAGGTGGCAGCTGCTAGGGACAGAGTACAGGTTGTAAACAGGGTGATTACGTGCTCACTCTTGACTCTGGAGACTCACTGTGGCCTATAGCCAATAATTGAGAGATCAGTTAGGTAATCCAAATGAGAAATAAAGGTGACCCGGGGTGGAAAGTGATCTTCTGTAGAGGGCTTTGGAGAGGAGAGGCAATGGCATAAGATTTAAGACTGATTCTTGGGTTGGTGGTGGGCGGAGAGGAAGCGTGGCGGAGGGGATTGGTGAATTTGGTTTTCCATACTTTTAGTGACTTTCAGGCATGGATGGGAGCAGAGATTTCCAAAGAAAGAAAGATCTGCAGATCTGAAGAGCTGAAGTCACAGCCAGGGACGGATCCTCATCTGAGGCTGTAGAAGCCCTGGGTGTGGATCAAATACTCTGAGGGAAACGTGGAGTTGGGAAAGTAAGCTAAAAGTTGGGTGTGTTGGCTCGCTTCTGGAATCCCAGCATTTAGAAAGCTGAGGAGACTAGCCCGGGATGGATAACTGAGGAAGCTATCACAGCATTCGAGAGAGCAAGTTGAGAGGGAAACTTTTCTAAGGAGTGGTCACAGAAAGTGTTACCGGAAAGGACAGGGCCGTTGAGTACATCTTTTTTGTTGTTGCTGTTGTTTTGTTTTGTTTTGTTTTTGAGACAGGGTTTCTCTGTGTAACAGTTCTAACTGTCCTGGAACTTGCTCTTGTAGACCAGGCTGGCCTCGAACTCACAGAGATTCGCCGGCCTCTGCCTCCCGAGTGCTGGGATTAAAGGCGTGTGCCACCACCGCCCAGCAGAACATATTTTTTTATTGTTATTTATTGAGCTCTACATTTTTCTCTGCTCCCCTCCCTGCCTCTCCCCTCCGCCTTCAATCCTCCCCCAAGGTCCCCATGCTCCCAATTTACTCAGGAGATCTTGTCTTTTTCTACTTTCTACTTCCCATGTAGATTAGATCTATGTGAGTCTTTCTTAGTGTCCTCATTGTTGTCTAAATTCTTTGGGATTGTGGTTTGTAGGCTGGTTTTCTTTGCTTTAAAACACCTATGAGTGAGTACATGTGATCATTGTCTTTCTGTGTCTGGGTTACCTCACTCAAAATAATGTTTTTTAACTCCATCCATTTTCCTGCAAAATTCAAGATGTCGTTTTTTTCTGCTATGTAGTACTCCATTGTGTAAATGTACCATATTTTCCTTATCCATTCTTTGGTCGAGGGGCATTTAGGTTGTTTCCAGGTTCTGGCTATGACAAACAAAGCTGCTATGAACATAGTTGAGCACATGTCCTTGTGGCACGATTGAGCATCCTTTGGATATACACCCAAAAGCGGTATTACTGGGTCTTGAGGAAGGTTGTTTCCTGATTTTCTGAGAAATCGCCACATTGACATCCAAAGGGGCTGTACCAGCTTGCATTCCCACCAGCAATGCAGGAGTGTTCCCTTTTCCCCACAACCTCCCCAGCATAAGTTGTCATCAGTGTTTTTGATCTTGGCCATTCTTACAGGTGTAAGATGGAATCTCAGAGTTGTTTTGGATTTGCATTTCTCTGATGACTAAGGATGTTGAACATTTTCTTAAGTGTCTTTCAGCCACTTTAGATTCCTCTGTTGAGAGTTCTCTGTTTAGGTTTGTACTCCCTTTTTTTTTTTAATTGGATTATGTGATCTTTTGGTGTCCAATTTCTTGAATTCTTTGTATATTTTGGAGGTCAGACCTCTGTCTGATGTGGGGTTAGTGAAGATCTTTTCCCATTCTGTAAGTTGTCGTCTTGTCTTGTTGACCGTGGCCTTTGCTTTACAGAAGCTTTTCAGTTTCAGGAGGTCCCATTTATTAATTGTTTCTCTCAGTGTCTGTGTTGCTGGGGTTCTATTTAGGAAGTGGCTCCCTGTGCCAATACGTTCAAGTGTACTTCCCACTTTCTCTTCTATAAGGTTCAGTGTGGGTGGCTTTATGTTGAGGACTTTGGTCCATTTGGACTTGAGTTTAGTGCATGGAGATAGATATATGTCTAATTTCATTTTTCTACATGTTGATATCTAGTTATGCCAGCACCACTTGTTAAATATGCTTTCTTTTTTCCATTTGATATTTTTTGCTTCCTTGTCAAAAATTAGGTGTTCGAAGATGTGTGGATTGATATCCAGGTCTTCTATTTGATTCCATTGGTCCTCCTGTCTGTTCTTTGCCAATACCAGGCTGTTTTCAGTACTGTACTTTGTAGTAGAGTTTGAAGTTGGGGATTGTGATGCCAGAACATATGTTTTATGAATGAGTCACAGCCATGGCCCTTTGTCCAGTGACCTCCCTTTCGGATGTAGAGACATCCTTTTAATTTTGTATTATTTTTATCGTGGGAAAGAAGATCATACTGCCTAAGTTACCAATCTTACACTCAGGTGTACAGTTTGGTGGCACTGGGTATATCCCCAAGGTTGTGTGCCCCGTTATTGTTTCCAGAACCTTCTCATTGTTCTAAACAGAAGTACCTCTCCATAAGCGGCACTTCCCCGTTTCTTGCTCCCCAGCTTCCTTCTGCTTTTCTCTGTATGGATATACCAATCCCAGGTACCTCGTGTGTCTTAGTTGGGGCCACTGTTGCCGTGAGGAAACACCATGGCCGAAAGCAGGGTTGTCCTATGCTTCCACAGCCCTGTTATCACTAAAGAGGTCAGAACAGCACCCAAGCAGGGCAGGAACCCGGAGGCAGGAGCTGATACAGAGGCCATGGTAGGGGGGTGCTTATGAGCTTGCTCACCATGACTTGCTCAGCCCCAGGATGGCACCT